TACCTATCGTAGACGATCATACAATTAATTTTGTTACCTATCGTAGACCATCATACAATTAAGTTTGTTACCTATCGTAGACCATCTTTCATTTAAGTTTCTTACCTATCGTAGACCATCATACAAGTAAGTTTGTTACCTATCGTAGACCATCATACAGGTTAGTTTGTTATCTATCGTAGACCATCATACAAGTAAGTTTGTTATCTATCGTAGACCATCATACAAGTAAGTTTGTTACCTATCGTAGACCAACATACAAGTAAGTTAGACCATCATACAAGTAAGTTTGTTACCTATCGTAGACAATCATACAAGTAAGTTTGTTACCTATCGTAGACCATCATACAGGTTAGTTTGTTTCCTATCGTAGACCATCATACAAGTTAGTTTGTTACCTATCGTAGATCCATCATACAAGTAAGTTTGTTTCCTATCGTAGACCATCATGCAAGTAAGTTAGACCATCATACAAGTAAGTTTGTTACCTATCGTAGACCATCATACAAGTAAGTTTGTTACCTATCGTAGACCATCATACAAGTAAGTTTGTTACCTATCGTAGACCATCATACAAGTAAGTTTGTTACCTATCGTAGACCATCATACAAGTAAGTTTGTTACCTATCGTAGACCATCATACAAGTAAGTTTGTTACCTATCGTAGACCATCATACAAGTAAGTTTGTTACCTATCGTAGACCATCATACAAGTAAGTTTGTTACCTATCGTAGACCATCATACAAGTAAGTTTGTTACCTATCGTAGACCATCATACAAGTAAGTTTGTTACCTATCGTAGACCATCATACAAGTAAGTTTGTTACCTATCGTAGACCATCATACAAGTAAGTTTGTTACCTATCGTAGACCATCATACAAGTAAGTTTGTTACCTATCGTAGACCATCATACAAGTAAGTTTGTTACCTATCGTAGACCATCATACAAGTAAGTTTGTTACCTATCGTAGACCATCATACAAGTAAGTTTGTTACCTATCGTAGACCATCATACAAGTAAGTTTGTTACCTATCGTAGACCATCATACAAGTAAGTTTGTTACCTATCGTAGACCATCATACAAGTAAGTTTGTTACCTATCGTAGACCATCATACAAGTAAGTTTGTTACCTATCGTAGACCATCATACAAGTAAGTTTGTTACCTATCGTAGACCATCATACAAGTAAGTTTGTTACCTATCGTAGACCATCATACAAGTAAGTTTGTTACCTATCGTAGACCATCATACAAGTAAGTTTGTTACCTATCGTAGACCATCATACAAGTAAGTTAGACCATCATGCAAGTAAGTTTGTTACCTATCGTAGACCATCGTACAAGTAAGTTTGTTACTTATCGTAGACCATCATACAAGTAAGTTTGTTACCTATCGTAGACCATCATACAAGTAAGTTTGTTATCTATCGTAGACCATCATACAAGTAAGTTTGTTACCTATCGTAGACCATCATACAAGTATGTTTAGACTATCATACAAGTACATGAATCGTAAGTATACCGGCTTACTGAAATCCGACCATTTTTTTATGTTTCACGATGGCCTACGAAAATTACAGTTTGGTATATCAAAAATCATACTTCAAAATGAATAAAACATATTTAGGCGAAAATAAAATTTGATAATGAAAGTAACAATCAATTAATATGGCCTGCATAAGTCGCACAACATGTTACGGTTGACCGGACCAGCGTGCTGTTTTGTCACTACGGGTGCCCTTGTAAACTTGACCCTATCCATTCCATACACCCTCCAGCTGGCCTTACACATGGATAAGCACATTTTCTGAAAACGGGGGCGGGTTTCCGGATGAAATATTTTGATTAATAAGAGAAAATCGTATGAACTGTGTGTGGAGAGTTACGACAGATTTGATTTAATCAACCCCGGTATAATTCAGTTTTAAACACGGGTAACAGAATTCACCGATCAAAGATTGTTCAAAGTTCAGCATTTTTGAACGATGTATTAATGTTTTTCCTGTTTGGTTTTAGTAACATACTAACGCAATTAAAAATAATGAATTATTTTTTTCGACAAAACATTCCGATGCGTTTGTATCAAATCAGTCTCCAACTGTAACTACACACATTATCGCCGAGACCAATACATTGTTTTTGGTATTAGTACTCGTATATTGTAATAATAAAAAACCCCAACATATTACCAACCATGTTAGAGAAATACAAGAAAACTTCCCCAATAGGTTGATATGTCTCTTAATGATGATCTTTCACATTTTTTAAAAGAAGACAGTTCAGCACAAAACTTATCAACAAGTGTTGCCCTCATGGTCAGCAGATGTTCAGGAAACTTCACATTGGCGTTGATGACTCATGATTTCCTAAATGGCGGCATGGAAAGTAAACATCTTAGAGTCTCGTCCTAAAATAATTTTGCAAAAATAATAATATTAAAAAAAATTATAGCATACGTCTTTACAATTTCTCATAATGTCATGCTTAAACTGTCTTAAACATCATTCAGACGTTTTGGAAAAAAACCCTTAAGGGTAAGTAATTGCTGTTTAATCTATAAGTTCAGCCAAGAAATATAAGTTATATCAGTGTCATGTTCAACATATGTCCATTTATATGAAGAGTTACAAATGTAGCCGGTATTGAACCATTGAATGCATTTTTAATTTACGTCCCTTCACCATAAGCTCTGGACATTTCCCATGGACGTAAGTAGGCCCGAGAGATATGGGTGGGGTAGGGTACCCAGTCACCCAACCCCCTCCCCGTAAGTGGGTCTAGATCTAGGGACGTGTCATAAACGTCCTCTTGGCAGCCTCATTGCGTGTTGAAGCATGAAAAGCATTCATAGTTTTTCTGTTTTAAAAAGGGGATTTTGTGAACGGATTGGTACAAATTCCCGCTAGGGGGAATTCAGTCTAGAATTCCTGTGTACTGTAATGGACCTGTTTTATACGTTGTAGGTAGTGCTCACAACGCACACATATGTGTGTCCGTCCATCTTTTATTTTCTTCTAGTGATACAGTGCATTTCCAGAGCGAAATTTAGTTTCTAAATTTAATCGAATTGTAGGTAATTTCATTATATGAAAACATTCAACAGTCTGATTAAGCGCACTCTAAAACGTTTTTTTTTTTTTTTAATTTCATTGTTGCTTAATTGATTACATAAAGGATTTTAATTTCGTCGATCAACAAAACTTTTGGTTCAAATTGATATAAGAAGGCATTGATGGAAAGTTATTAAAGCTAATCAGATCGTTGTATAGTAGAGTTAGATGTTGTGTTAAATATAATGGTTCATTATCGAGTTATTTTAATTGCGAAAATGGATTGTTTCAAGGTGAAATTTTATCACCATTATTGTTTTCATTATATGCTAATGATTGCGAAATGCACTTTTTAATTGACAACTGTCAGTCGATAGAAATTCAAACACTGAATGTGTTCCTTTTGATGTTCGCAGGTCAGGTAATAGGGTGAGAGGGTCTGCAAGATATGTTAAATTCTTTAGAATTGCACACAAAAAAGTGGGATCTAACAGTCAATGCTAATAAAAGACAGTTTTTGTGTTTCAAAATGGGGTTATTTTGAGAAATAATGAAAATTTGAAATAAAATGGTTGTCAACTAGAAATTGCAAAAGAAATCAAAATTTAACCTCTAGAAAAACACAACAAGAATGCAGATCAGGGTAAAAAGGCGTTGTTTTCAGTTATGACTGTATGTCAAAATACTAAAAAAAATCAGAATTTATTTTGTAAACGACTGCTGGGCGTAAGAAGAAAAAAACGTATAATTTATGGTTTATTCAGAACTTAGGATATATCCATTCACATTGGTAAGAAAATTGAGAATGATTTAATAGTGGATTAAAATACTAGGGACTAATACTTGTAATTATATTTTGCAGCATGTTATAAAGATTTGTTAAAGAATAAGGATAACTGTTTTTTTTAATAAAACAATATTTTATATAGAATTGGCCTTGGCTCCATATGGGAAATAGAAACAAATGCTGATACATGTATGTATTATAATGTTATCAGAGAAAGACTTATTGATATACAATGTATATATATATAGACAAGAAGGCAAAGAAAAAGTAAGAACATATTCAAAGGGATATATCTATGCATATCTTTATAACCAGTTTGATTTACAATGTTACTATAGAACCTTTTAACAAGAAAATATTTGAAAGAACTTACAATATTTACTATCTAAATAGGTAGATATCCAAATACTGAACGTAGAACTAGTGTGTACTGTATGTAATTTACATGATATTAAATATGAGTTTCGTTCTTTGTTGAAATATCGATCCATGCTATTCTGATTTGCGTGTCAAATTTTTGAAACATTTCTATATAAAAAAGCCAACTATGTTAAAAAATGATAGAATTATTTAATGCAAATGAAACAAAAGGACTTGTCAGTTTGGCAAAACATAAACGAGGCCAATAAAGTTAAGTTAAAATAATTTGCTGTTCAATCTCTTTGAATCTGTACAATATAATAAGTTTAAACTAAGCGGCCAATTCAAGAAGAAACCGATTTACTTCATTGGTTACACTCTCCGTACTGTATAGTGCTGATGTGGTATTGTAATTGTATATACATAATGTAAATATCTCATTTTTGAAACCGTATGAGTCGAAAGACTCTAGGTAACATAGAACCTGAACTTGAACTTGCTGTAAGAGAGTCCCTAGGCCTCGTGTACTTTACAAGCTGTCTCCTGAGTGGGTGGCGAGCCAGCTGGTCCGGGGTAGACCACTTCAGGCCAAACGAACTAACAAGATTATTCGATTCAAGATGTAAGATAAATATATGAATTAAATTCAAGATAAACAATATATTCATTTCAACCGAAGATGACACAGACATATATATCTAGCGCATTTCGATACTGACGCGCATTTGGTCACTTTCAGTCCATCACTAGAGATGATGATGTTGTTCGTGCGGTGCTTGCTGGCTTTGCTGGTTATTTCGATGACCAGTGCGAATTGTCCGCACTCGGACTCGGGGTTGAAGAAATGGTCAGAATCTTCCACCTGGGAAGATGGAGTAAGTACAATATTGTTGTTGCTATTCTCTATCCAATTACTTGTGTTTTTATTTTTTCTGTATTTTTTTTTTAGCTTTTGAAACAAATCGATCCATACATTACAGTGTTGTACTATTGGACTCTTTCCGCTTCCCGCATGCGCCATTTTGTTTTACAGTTATCCCACCTGCAATATCACCAATTTTTACCCATTCATCATTTTTTTATCCATTTTGTTTTAATATTTGGCCCAGTTAAATGTTAACTTTGTTTGGCTCAATGCATTTACAATAAAAAAAAATCAAATATAATGTAGGTGTTTTGTCGTGTTTCGAATGTCCCTGTCACTGCTACACGTACTAGCGGTCAGCGCCGTAACTTTGCAGCTAGAATTTATTTGGACGAAATGGCCATACGGTGAACTGAAATGTTGACCTTGTTTGGTTTTCTGTGTCTACATGTACAATCATTTTTTTCAAATAAGTGCTTCACCTTTTCGTTTATCTATTAATTATTTTACATACATGTAACAAGGTGATTTATTCTGCTTGTGAACCATCAGCCCTCAAGGTTAACCGTAGCCTTCTAAACCTGCAGCTTTGATTTATTCTGGCTTAGTTTAACTGAAATACTAACTTAAGTATAACTTATATGTTGTAGCCAATGCCGTAAAGTATGACCTTATTTAGGGTTTGATATGTACATGTACCTTCCCCGCTTCACTGTGTTCTACATATGTTTTGAAACACTTCCTTCCATAAGTTTGTTTTTATTTATTCTTTTGATCTTTAGTACTACTCATGAATCATATATAGTCGAAATAGCCATATGGTGTACTGACATATTTACTTTGTGTAGAATTTTGCATCTACAGTACTTCAATTATTCGTATTCGTAATGTTATTTTTTGGAAATGTATATAGTTTATAACTATACACGCACAGACAGCTCTTCAAATTGGAGGATGTCACCTTTTCAGTGGTAATATTAAATTAAATGACAAATATTTGAGGAGCATTCATGTTTCCGTTGAACAGCCCTTCGATATATACATGTAGCAACCAACAAAAAGTGTATTTTACACAGCTACATGTATTGTATGGGTGTGCGGGAAATAGCACTTTTATTGTCCCCCGAGACATTCACTATTTCCCTGAGGACAGTAAAAGTGCTTTCCCCCTAAATACCCATGAAATAACTGTTTTTTATATGTTACCAACAGCATACTTATTTCATTTTATTTCATGTCCAATCAGAATGAACGAAGCCAAAAATTCCGCGAAAATTTGAATGCATGTTAAATGGCTCATTCCCGGTAAATAGCTCTAATGACTATTTACCTGGTAAATAGTTTCTTGGAAGAGATTATATTGAATAGTATTTCTATTTTCTGCTTTTATATAGTGTAAAAAAGAAGTAAATGTATAATAAACATGTATATACCAATAACGGCAAGAACTACACCACAGGAAAGTAATTGCAATCAAATACTGTTCAGGGTACATACATTGTACATGTATATATGAAACCGTTCTCATGTTCAGATTCTGATTTTGTGCTCAGTCACAATTCCTTTTTCCGGTGATAAATTATTCAAATTACACATATTTTATATCATTTTGAGGAACTTTTAAAATACTTGAAACCTAATGCCGTTTTCAATGTCCACACTAGCTATAACTTTCCCTTTTTAATGCATTATTTCAGCGAGCCACAAGAATGGTGGTTTGAGCAGATAAGTCCGTTCAGCAATCATTGTAAAAAATGGCTTTGATGATATAGACTTAACAAACGAGTACCAGGTGAAAATGTTTTAAGAAGAAAAATGTATCAAATTTAATTACAAAAAATTACACCTGATCAATATTTACATTGCACGTTTAATGTTAAAGACATTTGTAATCTTGGGAACTATTTGTTAGCGATGATATGGTCGTACAGTATGTAATATTTTCCACATTTCTTGTGTAGATCCCGGAGGATGGAGATGACGTCACAATAAGCACACCTATTTTACTGGACGAAAGCCCCGGAGTGGACTTAAACAGTATAACAATAGGATCTGGTGGTCGATTAGTGTTTGCTCCTGACAGTGACCTCATTCTCCGGACACACTACATCCATATCGATGGCGGACGAATGGACATCGGATCCGAGCTCTGTCGCTACACAGGGAAAGCCAAGATCCAACTACTCGGTTAGTAGACGATGAAGTTCGGTATAACCGCCCTTTTAACCACGCATTTACGTTTGTATAATGGACGTACCGAGTGAAGAAAAGTTGTAGTAGTTTAGGATATTAAACTTATAATCTTTGATATCATTTAAGAAATATTGAATTTATTGTACTTCGCGTATTCCCTTCTGCCTCTCTGTATATCGGCACATTGGCACCGACCGGTTTAATTTGTGTGTAAGAGTTTCAATGTCCGGCCAATCAGGAACCGTCGACACTTTCCGTAATCTCGTATTTTCTCGTTTCTCGTTTACGGAAATTACCGACGGTTCCCGATTGGCTGTCTGGGATGAGGCTTCGCCAAGTACTGGACAACCAAACTCTTATAAAAGGGTTTATTATTATTTCAAGATAATATATATTTTATGAATTATTTAGCTTACATGATATACATGTACAATATATCATGTAATTTCATAAAATACAGGATTAATTTCGCTCCTTGAATAAATGTTAAGTTGGAGAGCCATATTATTGATCTTTACTTCAATAACCTTTGTTTGTTAATATATTTGTGTGCAAATAATACAATAATCCTTTATATATATTTATTTTATATACTACGTTTGTTAGATTATTTCCATTCTGTTTTTGTGATTAAAATGGATATGAGATACACACTTTGTAAACCTGTATGACATTGTGTTTATTATGACTGGAAATATTTGTATTTCTCCAGGAAACGTCACTGATACCTACTCTGTCCCCGGATTCGGACAGAAGTTTATTGGAGTCGACACAGGCGGAATTTTGGAGATCCATGGACAAGATAAGCTGCCATGGACGAAAATTGCCAGCACGTTGGAGAAACTGCCCGATGCAGCATTTACCGCTAGAGATACGGTAATGGCCAATGACAGAGAAATTTCTAACCTTTTGGGTGATAATGTCTTTCCTTCGCCAGAGCCTTGGGTTAGACAACGAAATAAATCACCCCTCGGGTTTGGTGATTTATCTGTTACACCCTCAGGGTAGGGGATGGTTCTTTTTCTTCTCATCATTCTAATATTATGCTTAAAAACAACAGTTTTCAGCAGTTGTAATCTTTATGTTATACCGATTTTTACATACCCTCTCCCGTCAAGGACTGATTTCGACGTCATATATTTTTGTTCCCATGACGTCATAGTATTGTTTCTCTCTGCGTGCAATCTGGCATACCCTAGGGTATTCTAATCAAATTCCATTCTAATCAAACAGACTTTTGTTAACAATTTGTGGCGTCAATGATTGTTAACAAATCAACAATCCGGGTTTTGTTAACAGATAACAAAGCCGACGTTTTTAAAAACAGATTCGCAAGTAGATATTGTAAACATTTTGCCAAGTCGACTTTTATTAACAGATTGCCAAGTCAACTTGTGCTAAAAACGACTTTTGATAACAGGTCTACAAGTTGACTTTTGATGACATGCTACTAAGTCGACGCCTGTAAACAAATTGCCAGGTCAACTTTTGTTAAAGGATTACAAAGTCGTCTTTTGTTACCAGATTGTGAAACCGACTTTAGAAATTAGGTTATCATGCGGCTTTTTTGTTAACATATTGCCAAGTCGATATTTGTCAACAGATTGGCAACTCAAAGTTTGTCCACAGATTGACAAGGAGGACAGTTTGAAGGGCCTGATTGTAAAGTCTTACAATCCAACCACCGGAACAGAGGACAGGGAACAGGGAGTCTTCCATCTGGGTTCCTCCAATCCAAAAATGGTGGAAAAAGTTACCGACGCGTTCGTAGATTACGTGGACGGTGAGATCCTTACCACCCTTCATCACAGAATGTTAGCATAGTCCTTCCACGACCCATCAACGCATACATGCATTTTGGTTTATCAAGAACCGTTTACACAAAAAATATATTAAGGGTTATCACGACCCGTCAACACAGAATCTTCAAATTGTTGAAGTTGGTCAGTACCATTTAGAAGAAACGTATTTAGGGTTATCATGACACGTCAACATATAAATGTATGTAGGGTTGTCACGACCTGTCAACACAGCAATATCTTTTGGGGTTACCATGACCCGTCAACACAGAAAAGTATTTTTGGTTATCACGACCCGTCAGCAAAACAATTATTTAGGGTAATCACAGCCCATGCGCACACAAATAACGACCCGTCAACATACAAATCCGTCGACACAAACATTATTTAGGGTTATCAGGGCCTATGTACACAGACTAATAAAACGGTTATATATTAGGAAGTATTGTGCAAATCGATCGAAAAAAGAAACTGAAGAAAATACTTTTACAACATCTCTTGTTTTACATATATATTATTTGCCAAAGTGTTGTTTCAAATAAACAACAAATATATTGTATATTATTGCAGCGGTTCCGGATGGGAACGTATTGTCTATCGCTGTGCGCAAGTTTATAGTAGACCGGGAGAATGCCCTGAACAGGTCGCGCTTCTATGACGCCTTGGAAACGCTTGGGTACGGAGACGTCACAGGAAAGAGTCAGATCCGGGACCTCGTGTTCTACGATGGGTTCGCCATGATCCTAACCAAAGGTATCTTATAGACTTCTGCTGTCTGCTTTCGTACCTATTCTCAATGAAATAGTTGTCGTGAATTTGGAAAAAAACCCTCATACAAATAGCATATTACGTGCATTCATACATGGCCAGACAAAATGGCGCGATGTGTCAGACTGCTTGAGTTTCAAAAGCCTCAAATTCTACTTTCAGTTTATTATAAGTCCCTGTGTATTCTTTTCCCCAGGTGACCCTTCTAACATCGTGGAAGGATTCGAACCCTACAAAGTGGGAGGTATACACCAGACTTCTACAGCCTCGTACATTTCCGAGGAACACGGACTCAAATACTTCGTGTTTAGCTACACCAGTTCCCGAGGTCACGGCAAATCATTTGTCGAGTTCCAGGTCACTCACATAGCAAAGTCTTGCCCAACCATCAGTGTCATAGATGACGTTACTTCCTGGAAAACAGGTATACTATTTTCAAAAGGGTTTTGTGCGATAACAGTGTTTTATCATCATCAATATGCCCGTCTCAAGTAAGAAAACAACGCTTTACGCAAGACACATACTTGCTTTAGAAGTTTTTTCCTTTCCTTTTAGTGCCCATGGTTTATAAACGCAAGGAAACTTAGAGTCGCCAACTGAACAAAATAACTGCTTTTTTGTCAAAAACCACCTTGTATAAAGTAATATAGTTTTTGCACTGAAAGTTATGATATTTTGTCAAATGCTATCCGTTTGTATTGAATATTTTGAAAAAAAAAAAAAACGGCACTCGGATAAATACTGCTTTATATACAGCAAACATCTCACCTTTTGTAAAATACTCATATTGCATCGATCAGTCTATTAGAACCATACCATCTAAATATTACACTTTTGCGTATCTGTCCTTATATAAAGGGAAAACAGCACGAACATACTATTTTTCAAGGTATATAACTCAATTTACCGTTCTATAGTTTCACGACTATTTCCCTATCAAAACGAACAATTCGAAAGATGACGCTGAAATAAACATTCCGACCGTGATATGATAGTTTTAATGTCTTTTCGAGACAAAACCTCATCTCAATGAAATAGTTTGCCTTTCTGGTAAAGTATAATAAGTTTTCTCTCGTGCCAAGTTAATTACTATTTATGCCCTTCGTTTCTTTGCCACAATGTTAAACGTCAACGAATTTCAAGATCCCTGTCTATAAAGCATTCCTTGATACTGCCAAAATTTCCCTGGACAAATGGTGGCAGTATAACGAGGTTTTATTATTATATGATTGTATTCTACAGGGGACCGCATCATTATAACGTCAACTGACTACGACTGGAAGCAGGTGGAAGTCGGCAAAGTGATGGACTGTGACGGTTGTCTTAGTAACCAGATCAGAATCGACCGTAAGTAGGTCACAGTAACTAGGTCAGTCATACAGTATCTGTGTCAGTAACAAGGTCAAGATCGACCATAGGTAGGTAAAAGTAACTAGTTCGAGGGTATACAGTATCTGTGTCAATAACTAGGTCACGATCGACCGTAAGTAGGTCACAGAAACTAGCTCAGTGATCCTAGTAACTATGTCAATAACAAGGTCAGGATTGACAATAAGTAGGTCACAGTAACTAGCTCATGGTATATAGTAACTGTGTCAATGACCAGGTCAACACCAACTGTAAGTAGGTCACATAAACTAGTAACCAGGTCCCACTGTAACAGTAACCAGTTCAGTAGGTCACAGTAACTAGTTCAGTGTGAACAGTATCTGTAACAGTAAACAGGTCAACATTGACCGTAAGTAGGTCACAGTAACTAGTAAAGTGTATACAGTATATGTAACCGTTACCATGTCAACATTGACCGTAAGTAGGTCACAGTAACTATTCCTGTGTATACAGTATCTGTAACAGTAAACATGTCAGGATCGACCGTACGTAGGTCACAGTAACTAGTTAAGTGTATACAGTATCTGTAACAGTAATCAGGTCATCATTGACCGTAAGAAGGTCACAGTAACTAGTTAAGTGTATACAGTATCTTTAACAGTAATCAGGTCAACATTGACCGTAAGAAGGTCACAGTTACTAGTTCAGTGTATACAGTATGTATGTCAGTAACCAGGTCAGGATCGACCGTTAGTAGGTCACAGTAACTATTCCTGTGTATACAGTATCTGTAACAGTAAACATGTCAGGATCGACCGTAAGTAGGTCACAGTACCTAGTTAAGTGTATACAGTATATGTTACAGTAATCAGGTCATCATTGACCATAAGTAGGTCACACTAACTAGGTTAGAGTGTACAGTTAGTGTATGTAATAGGAACCGTCTCAAGACCGATTGTAAGGAGTGCAATAGCAGTAAATCTGTCTCCCTACGTAGAATGTACCTAAGGATCCTGCGTAATTGTCTGCCTTAGTTTCCATCTAAATGTCGGACGTAAATTGTATTAACTCAATATATTTATATCAATATATATATGTAATTGTATTATAGAATATATTTGCATATACCATTATATATACATCTACGAAATATCTAGTTTTGAAATTCATTATTTGGATAAACCGGTGATCTGTAGATACCCTTTTTGTAAATGAATCCATTTTGTAATTTTGTAATGAACAGAACCATTTTCACATTTTTTGTAATGTTAGACAATGCAACTGCTTCCTCGTTTTAAAACAGTGCTTTAAAAGTTCATGAATATCAATTTAAAACTTGTTGATAGTTGCGCCGAAATTTACACACTACGGAGAAATTTACAAGAACGTGGACATGCGAGCTGAGGTTGCTGTCCTGACCAGGAATGTGGTGATTGAAGGTGTAATGGAAAACTTTGCAGATGAATTCGGCGGTCATATCAAGGTAAATAAGTATAGAAGGCATGCCAAATTAAATACGTGAATAAGCAATTCAACGCATTAAAGCGATCCTAGTATTTTGGTCTCATTTTTGATTCATTACATATATATAAAGTAGAAAATGTTCGCTAACTGACGAGCTTTTCACAATATTACCTTAAGGATGCCCGTGCCACTGCCAAAAACTGTAACTCAAGTTTGGAAATAATTTTCCGGCTTAACTTTTGATAAATCATTTCTAAAAAAACAAATCATACTTCAGATTGTTATAATATTGCTCTAACCGACTGAGCTACCTAGTCCACGGGAGTGGTCCGGGTCCAATTGTGCTACAGCTATATCCAAACAAAAGTTAAGGAGGGAAGGTTACTGTATATATGAAAAACTACAGTATTGTGGGACAGGGATCCCAAAGTCAAAAGGCTTCTTAACTTATAAGAAATAATTCTGCTTTTAGGTTTTGAAGGGATTTAAGGACTTCCACATTGAGGGCGCGGAACTCACACATATGGGACAGTCTAAATCCGAAGGTATTGTAATATTTAAATTCAGACTCCGCTTTTAATTTAAATTAGTAGATTTGATGACAATTGTCTTACAAATCCAAAATGAATGTCGGTCCCTACTGTTTTGGTAAAGCAGCGTTTCTGTTGTAGGGAAATACCCAATACACTGGCATCTCTGTGAAGATGTGAAGGATCTGAATCTCTACCCCTCCACTACATACGCCCGTGGGAACGCAATCCACCAATCGTACGCCAGATGTGTCACCGTACACGGCACCCACGGGGTTCAGGTAAGGAAATGCAACTCCCACCCAGCGTCTCTCTTCACGTCACAATCCAATCTGCTCATAACACCTCCACAAAGTGTGACCGTGTTGCTTCATACGCTGCAAATACAAGTGTTTGCCCGCGAGGTGTCTCTGTGTTCGAAAATGTAAAGCTTAAGGAATTATAAACAATTTAAGGCAGTTGCCATGGTTTACACACCTACGGTAAAATAATCACAACAGGTACGACTGATCGCGTCAAACTGCACTAGTAAAGGTAAGCAAAACTCAGTAGGTGTCGCTGAGCATACGTCAACTCATTGATATGGTAAACAATGCCGCTTGATACGTACTGTATATCACTGTTGTTTTTATAAAGTTTTCCCATTGCATATCGCAGTCTACGCGTCACACTGTGTTATGATAAACAAATCCCTCTTGATGTCACCAAAAAAGAAAGGGCTAAAGGAATTAACCCTGCTCCCTAATTATATTGAGAGTAATTAAATATCCTTTCTAAATTAATTACTAACGTAATTGTTTGGACGATACTGATCTGGTGTATACGATGGATAATATGTTTTAGGTGATGGATAATGTCTGCTTCGACAGCATCGGTCACGGGTTTTTCCTGGAGGATGGCGGGGAGAAATGGACAACAATAACAGGCAACCTTGGAGCAGCACAACTGTTTGGCGACCTTATACCCACTGACAACATGTAATTAACCTAAGTCATAGATTTAAGGAAATGAAAAAAAAAAAAAACCTCACGTCTACTAAGCTGTTATCGTTTTCTTATTTTACAGTCAACGTAATTCGTGAAATTACTAGAATATGGATAGGAAAACACGTCCGTTCCTGATATGATTATGAGGAAGAAAACAAAACCCTTTGCTATAGCGTAACTTAAATGTTGATGATTTGTATGTAACTTTTCCGAGAAAAGAGTGATAACAAACTATTGCCGTTTTTTTTACAGGAAGCCATCAACATTCTGGATCACCAACCCTCTGACTGTGCTTGAGAATAACGTTGCAGCCGGCGGCAAAGTATGAACCAGTTCTATGCTAATATCGACCTGTAAAGTTAAATGGCAGAACGAAAATGCCATTTCTATAATGATTTGGATTTCGTAAATTATATAAAGCGCATTTCTATGATTTTGAAAACAGCATGTGTCTTTGCAAATTGGCTCAACGAACCAATTAAGTGCTTTCGCATTTTCAAAAATCCAAAACCATTTTCAAAACGGCAATTTTTAAGTATTTTACATTCCGTTAAATATACGTGTTTCAGGGACATGGAATATGGTATGTGTTCCCAGAGGAGCCAATGGGACTATCCAATGGGAAGGGTTATATGCAGTACGGCGAGGCCAGACATACTGCCGTCACCAAGTTCAGTAACAATGTGGCACACTCCAACAGACTGGTGAGTATTCTTAGGATTTATTCGCCCATGAAGAAAATATGCAAAGATAAAGGTTTTTCAAATTGATGACCAAGACGGTTTTCCGTTAATACCGTATATATTACCTGAACAATTGCGTTTATCAATCCTTGAAGCATAAAGGTGTTTCTGAATAAAGTAAAACAGGTTTTGTTGTGTTTCATTAGGAAGTAATGTTGTTTTTCTCTATGAATTATAAAATAATGTCGTGTTTTTGTGTGAGTGTAAGTAATGTGCTATGTGTATGATTTGTTAAATATTGTATTATATTTCTGTATGAAGTATGAAATGATATATCTGTTTTTCTATATAAAGTTGAAAGTCACGTGCTGCGTTTTTTAAAATAAGAATAAAGTCATGTTGAATGATCTTGTATAACCTGTTAAGTAATATGCCGTGTTTTACTACAAAAAATATAAGGTTGTGTTATGTATACTGTGTTTCGTTTCTGTAGCAAATGTATACTAATGTGTTTTATCTGTGGATCTGAAGTGTTCATCATGTGTTTGTGTTTTGTACAAAATATGTAGTTATGTGTTGAGTATTGTACGTCAGAAAATGTGTTACATTGAGGTTTAGTGCATGGACTAATTTGTTACATGTTTTTACCAATTTGTAAAAATGGCAAGTCATCTAAACTTTTAATAGCAATACAAGAATCTGAATTGATAATACATGTCTATACTAGTCTTTACTGGTATCTTTACTTTATTATATACCTTTTACGATGGAAATAAAGATAAACAATAAGTAATAACGATTTATAAATTATCTAAAACATTCTATAATCAATCTCGTTTACTTTGCGATGTACGCTTGTTATTTTTATGAAAGATATAACATATCATGTTACATTTGAAAAACAAGACTTCTTGCGATTACATCCAATATTTCATAAAACTTATGAGATATCTCTTTAACCAAATTAAACGGGATATCTGGAAAAGGACATGTCATATATCTCACAAAGAAATCTCTCTGACTTCATATTCATATCTAATCATGCACATGCAGTTGAGTAGATTTGTATGGTTATATTGTTAAACGCAAAAAGAATCAATATGGTATATTCTTTATAAGACATAGATTTTGTAGACAGATATGAAGAGGAAGGTTAATAAAAAAAAGTAAATACAATATTTTTTTTTTTTTTTTTTTTTTTTTATATCTTAGGACGGTTTGAGGTTTGAACAGCGACTGGACCAGGACGGTACCGAATTAAGTAACAATAACCAGTACGAACCACTGGTGGATCCTCTGGACGACGAATCTGAGTTGAAACTCGTGGAGTTTAGCCGAATTACAGGTAGGCATAAGTTAGATATTAATTGTGTATCAATGTAACGACAGGTGGTCTGTACGTTCATAGCAATGTTACTTCAAAGATGGTCGTTCACTATCTTTCATAAACTGTCTTGATTACCGAGCATACTGAGGGGAAAAGCGTAATTCAAAATTAGTGAAACTAGGGCAAACTATGCAAATAAATGTTTACACGGAGACCATAGAAAAAGTAAAGAGAGACTAAAACAGGTGCTTTGACATTATAAGGCTTGTTAACGTATGGTTCTTCGGCAACACTCGTGTTGTTAATATATGTCAAACCCAAGTCACAGCACTCAAAGAGAGACTAAAACAAGTGTTTTGACATTATAAGGCTTGTTAACGTATGCTTCGTCGACAACACTCGTGATGGTAATCTATGTCAAACCCAAGTCACAGCACTCAAAGAGTGAACTGGGATAGTCGAAATAAAATCAAAAGGCACATATCAATGAGCAAAATTAATAGGTCCATATTCATAGTACACAAGGAAGTGTATTATTTTCTCATGACGTCATGAGGTTCATCAACCTAAATATTTATAGGGAGGTTCATTTACCTAAATATGTGTACAATGGTTGATTTTATAAAGGTTTTCAGGTTGATGATTCCCCTGAACTTTTGTAGAGTGGTTGAAATGTATAAAGCTTTTTAGGAGGTTGAACTGTATTTAGTTCTGGAAGTAATGTCAATTTAAAAAACAGTAAAACATTTCAGTATAATATAATTAATTTAATAATTTCAATAGCATGTTATTGGATGGTATAAAGGTTTTTGAGGTTAATTGTGTAAAGCGTTGTAAGGTAAATGAGTCGTATAAAGCTTTTAGAAGGTTGAATGGTATTAATTTCTTCACTGTTGTCAAGTCGTAAAAACACCGATAAACATACTACAATTAGTTTATCTGTTAAGAACGATGACAAAGTACGAAGAAATGCCGTTTGGATAAAGTATTTTAGTTGTTGTCATTGGAGGAAAAATGTCAAATTAACCTGAATCAGAAAAGTTGGGATTTTCTGGAATATCTAGGCAAGAGAGGCCATATCAAATATTGCTTATAGAGTGTTATGATCTTATTGAAGCCAAAATTAGAATTAAAGAAACCAATTTTTATACACAGTGATTTTATTAGTTCACGAACAACACAACTGTTTTACACATAGATACTTGAATTGAATCTGCGAGACATTGTTAAACCAGGTAATGATTAAGTCTGCGAAACAACTGTAAAACAAAAGGATCATCAAGATGTATTAAATGCATGCCACTATATTTTGGTGAAACACTTATGGTTTATGTTAACAGCATATAAGAACTGTAAAAGAAACGCTGTGTTACGAGGAGGGCTTATACAAGTGAAAGACTCGTCGTAAGTAACCTTAAAGAAATCACCCTGAATATCATACGGTCGTCGTATAATAAAGTGTTGAGTAAAATATTTATTTTTGTGTCTTTGATACATTAGCAGGCAGTTACATGAAGTAATTTATTTAAAAAAACAACAACAACATTTTCTAAAATATTAAGAGATTAAGGCCTTCATAAACGGGGGTGAAGACAACAGAGTACTAGTAAATAGCACTTACTAGCAATGAGTTAGAACTTAATAACAGGGAGTTAGAAATTAATAACGGGGAGTTAGAAATTAAGAGCAGGGAGTAAGAAATTTATAACATGGTGTTAAAACTTATAACATGAAGTTAGAACGATATAACAGGAAGTTAGAACTATATAATATAAAGTTAGAACTATATAACAGGAAGTTAAAACTATATAACAGCAAGTTAGAACTATATAACAGGAAGTTAGAACTATATAACATGAAGTTAGAACTATATAACATGAAGTTAGAACTATATAACATGAAGTTAGAACTATATAACAGGAAGTTAGAACTATATAACATGAAGTTAGAACGATATAACAGGAAGTTAGAACTATATAACATGAAGTTAGAACTATATAACAGGAAGTTAGAACTATATAACAGAGAGTTTAAAACATGGAATAAAGTCTTAATAACTCAAGATTCACAAACACAAACTTTATAAATGTGTCAATATGTGATGTTCGTAATGTCCATACAGTCCATATTATGTTGCTGATTTTGCTTCAAGTTTTCCATATTTCTTGAAGGTTTTCTGACAGTCCAATTGGTTTGACGCTGAGAAGGTAAAGTATGGATATATTGTATACATATGTTTAGTAGAATACGAAAACAGTTGTACAAAATGGAAGTTTTTGTCTTGAAATTAACGTACGTATCCTTTGAACTTGCCGGCTATGAACATATTAAGTTTGGAACGGTTTTGCTTACACTTTATTTGTTTAGATGACTTATAGAGGACACGTCACTTTCATATGCTAGAGACACATTTTTATGATGGTGTTTTATGCACTGAGATGTCATATTGAGACGCATAGTCCTTTGTTGTGACGATATTTATGACGTATCTTGACAGATACAGTGAATCCATGTGACTTATAACATCGCTGATATATCGGTTTGTGACGATGTCTACCACTTTTGTTTTAAGTCAAAGCCCATATTAGGGAATGCCCATCTGTCGAATCAGAAAAATTAAACCTTAGCTGGTATTTTAAGCATTTTGTTAAAATGTAAGTACATGTATTTCTTCAGATTTAGTTCCGGTCAGTCTGTGATAAACTCAGTGATTATAGGAGATTCTGATAACAAAGGGACACCATCGGAACAGCTAGACAGATCGTTACCAGATTTGGAAGAACCGTAAGAGCACCCATATAAAAAAATATCAACAATGCGTTTTCTCTAATTCAATAATGTTGCCGAGAGTTGCTGTCATCCTAAAGTTCAATAGCGAAAGACAGTGCGATTATTGTTTAAAAAACAATCTTCACTTTGTTTTCTTTAATAACATCATACATTTATTTGTTTATTATTAAAGTATGAATTTTATCTAATGGTCGATTCCATCCGTCGTCATACGACTTACAGTAAAAGCGAAAATACTCGCGTGTAGAACGCTTTGTGATTCTTTAAACTGATTGCAGTGTGGATATTATTTATATTTGACAATGGTCCTGAAATCTGTGTATAGCTTCCAGCTTTAATCTTTAAAAAATATATTCCCGTGTTTATACTTTTGCTCTCCAGGGACTTGCCTCGTCGTGGTTTGGTACTCGGGGCCGGACCTGTTCTGGTGGATAATGTATGGTTCGACGGTTTTAACAGCACGGCATCCTACTCTACTGGCGCAGTGTCCTTCTCAGAAAAACTGTCAAGGCTCAGGTCTCCAAGGAACACATTCAGGAACATCGGCTTCGGTTTCGATGACGTAAGCGATTTGGTTATCAGGCGTGTTGTAGCATACCTTATATAAGACATTTATTCTATTGAACTATTATTTTGAACATGCTTTAAAAGCAGGGCAATGATATAATTCATCCGTTTGTTGTTACTCATTAGCATGCATTGAATTCATCCAAATGTGGGGTATGTTTGCACGATGGTGATTTGAATCTGTACATACCTTATAAGGTCACTCACTGGCCTTTTCTGAAATCTTATTTGTTGACACTCTCTGAAAACATCGCTTTATTTACACATGGATTTTCACAAAGGTCCGTATACATTTCATGATGCCATCGGCAATACAAAATGTTACAACTGATGCACTGCTTAAAAATCTATTTTTTCTGTAATATTCTGTATACGCCTTTGTTTGTACAGCTACCTGATCCGAGCTAATTTCAGAATCATATTCACGTTATGATTTTCAGGATATATAGCTGAAAAAAAGTTAAGACATGTTCAATCAGAGCACTTTCAACGTTATTTTGATATGAATTTATATCTGTATCATTTACTAGTTATCTTACTTATCTATATAAGCATTCATATCCTTTGGTATATAGAAATAGTCTTGTTGTTGATGGTGTGATGTAGAAATTGAAATTGAAATTTAGAGCCGGAAACCTTCTTAACTAGTTTTCAATTTTGGTAGCCTATATAAAAATGTTAGACCATTAATTGTTTAGTTGTCTAAAGAAGCAACATATATAGCGCTAAGTATTCTAAAGTTGTGGATAAATCGGAAACAAGTTTCACTTATTATTGTGTAAAAAGTAAACATATGTAGAGTTCGGTAAAGCATAATACAAAGCATAGTTAGGACCTGAATACAAAGTAGATTATTCTAAATGCATTGCTGTATTCGCCCTTCACAGTGAAAATCTTTCATTTGTATATTCGCCAATGGTTAGTTTCGCCTTCAAAAACGACTACGACTACGTGCATATTTCTTGCTGTGTACTTATATTCACTTTCATGAGGAATTCGCCCTTAAAAAGGAAGGTGAAAATTAAACTGTGGCAAAAATTTCCCGGTGACATCATCATTGTATAGCAATACAGCTATATGTTTGTGTTTTCTATCTTTGATTAATTACCAAACGTTCACTTTATATTAATAAGATACACGATTAAGAAATTTAACCTGGAAGGAAAATGAAAGTATAGGGCCTACATTTAATATTGTGACATCAACTGTTGTAAATTAGGTATGTAAGGTGACGTTTTATAAATCAATAATATTTTGCCATGCAATTACCGGGGAAAGAATGCATTAAAAAGTTCTTAAGCTTGCCCTTAAATCCTCTGAAATTGTGATACAATATGTAAACACATATTCCTTGAAAAACAATATTGTTTGAATACGATTTTTCACTAAAAACGTGAAATTAAACTCCCTTATGTGATTTGCTATTTTTTCACGCTATCTCAATCACACGAGTATTTTCTTTTTTGAAATGTGCTTCGGTTTGTTAAAGGACTCTGAGGGCAACAGAGTCATTCAAACGACGACAGACATATCGGAAAGTGTAGATGCTGTTAAGGTTGACATATTTTACGACGAAGATGGCGATGTCACGTCAATACCAGGAGCAAGTGTTGTACGCCCGCTTAAATTTCACATGACACCTAACTGTGCAGTAGTGGATTCTTGGAAAATGGCAGTTTGTGATGAATCGTTTGCCCAGGTGAGAGCTTAGTAATAAATATTTAATGTATTCTTGAATAATGTGAACGGTAAATTAAGATATTGGATGCATTTGTCAAATAAAAAAACCCAACAACAAACAAACAAAACAACAACGCAAAAACAAAAACATACATGTAACAGCATTAGTGCGTCGAAATGGAAAGCATGCCCTGGCAAATTCAACCTTGAGAACTCAACTGTATAAGTTTTATACGTTCAGTTTAGTTTTATATATAACAGATTACAGTAGCAGTCCTTTGTAAATCCCTGTCTCCGTGTACATAATACAAAAATAACCATCTTTATATATTCTTTGTCTTGCCTGTTGTTCGTGATCATTGCAGACCCTAGCAGTATATAACCTCTGTTTAGCCAGTTATTTATTCCAATGGGGATTGTTATTCGTTTGTTTTGAGAGTGGTATGCCGATTTCAACGGTTTTAACCAGAGTGTGTGTCTCAATGCTACATGTTGAAATAGATAGATATTGCATTTAATGGAGTGATATTGACTACACATGCACACCTTTAAATAAAATACAGCTTACATGTTCTTTGGTTTCCAGGTTGTCATTAGAGGCAGAAAGGATGAGGCTATGACAATGATGAGATCTGATGACGTCACAAACAACAGAATTACGTCAGACTCATCAGGTTCAACGGGAGCATTCAATGTGATTTTAGGAGAATCCTACACGTACTTAGTCAAGTTCAATTCCGAACTTCCAACGACCTTTTCTTTAACGGGGCTTGGAATGCAGAAGTACGTATGAAGCGTCACAAAAATAATAATAAAAACTGCTGAAAAGGCACTTCCGTTTGCATGTCAAAATTATGAGTTTTTCCATTTGAAAGTTACATTTTCAGGACAGGATTCGACAAAAAACGAATGCATGCCGTTTACATTTTGTCTTTTGTTCCTCTTGAGAATTGCTCTTGACTGATCAAAATGTGTTACATTGTATATGCTAATTGTTTTGAATATTCATGGTTGTTAGCAAAACACCAAATACTCAAAATAATGACAAGAATGTATGTTTCCTCCATATTTCAGATGGTATTTACAAATTTTATTGATTTACATTCTTATAAAGTGAAGATAAATATTCTTTTGTAATCCACAGAGGAAAAAATGTCGTTGTGGGCATATGTGTTCCAAAGGACGTGACATTCAGGCTGAGCACTAACACCCCAGCACGGAAGGCTGCATCTTCTGTAACAAGCCTGGCTGCGTTAAAGTCGGACACTACGGGCACAAAATATTTTCTCGATGACGACGCAGGGTTTGTACTTTTATACAAATGTCACCTATTGTCATCTCCCCTAGAAATATATATACATACGTCTGCTTAATATTTACCAATATACATAAATATAAGAGCCTTCCCCTGATGTATTTCTAAAGGGGGAAGTACTAAGAAACTCTTTTGACATTTCTTTTCTTCATAAATACATACGAAATAAAGTGAGAACTTTATTAAAAATGTATGACAACATGTTTTAGATTAATTTATTTTCGTCAGCTCTCCATTTCGTTGATTTATAGAAATTAATCTATTCAGTGGATACTTGAATTCGTGGACATACTAATGCTGACAAGTAAAAATACAAATAAAATATATATAATTGATGTTGTGATGTTATATATAGACCATTCCGGTCCGCATCCCGATTCCGGATGCTGTTTTAGCCACTGTGTAATATTGCATTATGGGTTTCAGTAAAAATGTCATCCGTGTTAAAAGGTGGGTTGTTTTATCTGTGAAGATTATCATCATAATGCACATCAATTGGAACTCTTTAGTTGTCGGTTATTTCTATTCATGAATTCCACGAAAATTAGCGCCCCACGAATAATAGTGAGTTTCCAGTATCAACATAAGATGAAGTTTGATGACGTATCTGTACACATTATTTACACATTATTAATACATTTTGCAAGGTATTTCAAGTAAGGTGAGATGTAAGGACTAAAGAACATGTTATCTCTGTCAGTCAATTTATAAGTCATTTATTCCCCAAATGAAAAGTATACAGTGAAACACAACTTCAACAACCCATATGTAGTATAAATTGGTCTGGGTTGGGTGTTGCGGTATCTGTGCTGTAGCATTCAAGTGAGGTGGCACTATGAATGATACCGTTGGAAGCACGGTTCCACTACAAACAGAACACAATACATCTCTAGCACACACACAGACATCAAGTGAGGTGGCACTATGAATGATATGGCATAGGACTAGTAGTTAGCGCCTGATAAGACAGCTCCTGCGAATTCCTCAATATGGTATTGATTAATATATATGCTAATCGTATTGACTGTATAAAATTGTATATCTATGTACTGTAAAGCGCTTTAGGGTGGCTTATGTTAGCTAGATAGGGCGCTATATCAAATGTTGTATATTTATATCTATTTTTTATAACGCTTGGAGAGAATGCAGAAGAAACCTACTCAACCTTATTCTGCTATACCTTATACTTATGATAAAGTATCGAAACTGGACCCCTCAGATCTTACCATAACGATGTAATATGAGATATCATCTTATTTTACAATTTTACGTTTGGGACATAATTCTCCAGGGTCATTGCTACGAATAGTGACTTCTGTAACGGCCTCTGTTATTATCTTCCTTGCTGATTCTTTTTCTGATGCTTACCCTTCTGCCAGATTGGTTTCCATGCATTTCATAAGAGAATTGTTTTTCGGATACTTTTGAAATTTGACATGAACATTCGTTCGCAAGTGTACATGTGCGCAACGTGTTTTATTATCCGTTCGGTTATCAAATATAACTACCGCGGCTCCTGGTTAGCCGAAACTTATTTGGTTAAAACTTTATATTACTATTATGACTTTTATAAGTTTTATAATAGGACAGGACGGACACGGTACTACTGCGTACACGTGTATATTGTGTATGGTTGCTTCCACAAATATTTGTATTTAACTTTCCCCATCCCTTATATATACTGTTTACCACATCATATTAATTTATATTGTTACCTGACTCGCTATATAAATGCATATTAATCAATTTCGACTGTTTCCCAGACAATTCACCAAATGAACTATAGCTAATGGGTGCCACCGTAAAACTGTTGACTGGTCACCGTAGAACTGTTGACTGGTCACGTGAAACTGTTGACTGGTCACGCGAAACTGTTAACTGTTCACGTGAAACTGTTGACTTGTCACGTGTTAGGTAATCGAACGCACCTATAATTACAAGCACCCCGACGATCAAGCGTTTTTGGTACTGGATTGTTGACGGTCGTCTGTCGGTAGATCTAAACATCACATTCGACATGGAACTGTTTGTTTTTCATTGTTCAAGTAACAAAACAGTTGTTTCATGCCTTATCAATCAACAGTCAAAACCATTTTGACTGTTGACTGATAAGGCATGAAACAACTGTATACTGTTTACCACATCTTACCTTTATACAGTTTACAACAACTTACCTTTATATACTGTTTACCACAACGTACATTCATACTATTTATAACAACATACATTAATAAACTGTTTATTTCGATCTATCTTTACACTGTTTGCCACAGCGTACATTCAAACTGTTTACCACAACAAACCTTTATACTGTTTACCATATCGTACATTTATACTGTTTACCACATCGTACATTATTACAGTTTACCACATCATACATTCATACTGTTTACCACATCATACATTCCCACTGTTTACCACATCGTACATGCATACTGTTTACCACATCGTACCTTTATACTGTTTACCACATCATACATTCCCACTGTTTACCACATCGTACATTCATACTGTTTACCACATCGTACCTTTAAACTGTTTACCACATCGTACATTCATACTGTTTGCCACATCATACATTCCCACTGTTTACCACATCGTACATTCATACTGTTTACCACATCGTACCTTTATACAGTTTACCATATCATACATTCCCACTGTTTACCACATCGTACATTCATACTGTTTACCACATCGTACATTCCCACTGTTTACCACAACGTACCTTAATACTGTTTACCACATCGTACATTTATGCTGTTTACCACATCGTACATTTATACTGTTTACCACATCGTACCTTTATACTGTTTACCACATCATACATTCATACTGTTTACCACATCGTACATTCCCATTGTTTACCACATCGTACATTCATACTGTGTACCACATCGTACATTCCCACTGTTTACCACATCGTACATTCATGCTGTTTACCACATCGTACATTCCCATTGTTTACCACATCGTACATTCATACTGTGTACCACATCGTACATTCCCACTGTTTACCACATCGTACATTCATACTGTTTGCCACATCATACATTCCCACTGTTTACCACATCGTACATTCATGCTGTTTACCACATCGTACATTCCCATTGTTTACCACATCGTACATTCATACTGTTTACCACATCGTACCTTTATACAGTTTACCATATCATACATTCCCACTGGTTACCACATCGTACATTCATACTGTTTACCACATCGTACCTTTATACAGTTTACCATATCATACATTCCCACTGGTTACCACATCGTACATTCATACTGTTTACCACATCGTACCTTTATATACTGTTTACCACAACGTACATTCATACTGTTTATAACAACATACATTAATAAACTGTTTATTTCGATCTATCTTTACACAGTTTGCCACAGCGTACATTCAAACTGTTTACCACAACAAACCTTTATTCTGTTTACAACATCGTACCTTTATACTGTTTACCACAACGTACCTTTATATTGTTAACCACAACAAATATCTATACTGTTTAAACAACGTACATTTATACTGTTTACCACAACATACATTTATATTGTTTATCACAACATACCTTTCTCATATTTACCACATCGTACCGTTAAACTGTTTACCACAATGTACCTTTATAATGTTTACACTATCTTACCTTCATACTGTTAAAACAACGTATCTTTATCCTGTTTACCACATCGTACCTTTATCCTGTTTACCACATCGTATCTTCATGCTGTTTACCACAACGTACCTTTATATTGTTAAACACGACAAATATCTATACTGTTAAAACAACATACATTTATATTGTTTATCACAACAAACCTTTCTAATATTTACCACATCGTACCGTTATACAGTTTACCACATTGTACCTTTATAATGTTTACAACATCATACCTTCATACTGTTTACCACAACGTGCCTTTATATTGTTAACCACAACACACATCTATACTGTTAAAACAACGTACATTTATACTGTTTACCACAACATACATCTATACTGTTCACCACAACGTACATTTATACTGTTTACCACAACGTACATTTATACTGTTTTCCACAACAAACATCTATACTGTTTACCACAACAAACATCTATACTGTTTGAAACTACATACATTTATACTGTTTTCCACAATATACATTATACTGTGTACCACAACAAACATTTATACTATTTACCACAAAATACATTATACTGTGTACCACAACAATATTTATACTGTTTATCACAACGTATCTTTATACTGTTTTTCACAACATACATTTATATTGTTTACCACAACAAACATCTATACTGTTTGTCACAACATACATTTATACTGTTTAAAACAACGTACATTATACTGTGTACCACAACAAACATTTATACTGTTTATCACAACTTACCTTTATACTGTTTATCACAACATACATTTATATTGTTTACCACAACAAACATCTATACTGTTTGTCACAACGTACATTTATACTGTTTATCACAACAAACATTATACTGTGTACCACAACATTAATTATACTGTGTACCACAACATTAATTATACTGTTTATCACAACAAACATTATACTGTTTACCACAACATACATTATACTGTGTACCACAACAAACATTATACTGTGTACCACAACGTACCTTTATATTGGTTACAACATCGAACCTTTGTACTGTTTACCACATCGTACCTTTATCCTGTGTACCACAACGTACCTTTAAACTGTTTTCCATAACAAACATCTATACTGTTTACCACGTTATGCATTCATACTGGATATACGACGACTTTATATTATTTTATCACCACATACATTTATACTGTATCCCCACCACATAAAATCATACTGTTTTATCAGTACGCACATTTATGCTGTTGTACTGCCACGTACAATTATACTGACTTTTATCACATTACTTTATATATTTTACCTAAGCATACATTTACACTGTTTTTTTTTTTTTTTATTACAACAATCAGCGTTCTGTTTGTGAAGATAATGACCACTAGTTCGTTCTCAACCACATCACAGCGGCTCAGGGATTGTCCGGACGGAATATGTGCAAGAGTCGGCGTAAACACGATTGCCACTGAGGACTGGTCGGACACAGACTGCGAGGCAGCATTTAAAACCAAATACGGATCACAGGTGAGCTGGCCCATAACACAGCGATATAAAAAGGGGCTAGAATTAGGAACATATTAAAGTGAGGCTCTCCCAGATCAATGAATTCAAGATTCAATTAACGATAATAATGTTTAACCTAGGTGATCAGATTTATGTTTGATATCCCATATTGAAATAAAAGGTACGTATCTAATATACTTCATTTTAAGAGGTTAAACAAATAAGGAGATGTGTAAAAGCTTTAATACGCTAAATACAATACACCATTATTTTTTCACAGGTCACCGTTCGTCAACTCTTGAAGTTGAGGCGTTCACTTCAATTACCATCGTCTCTGCCAAAAACATCTTCTGATCCACCTGTGGTAAGAGTTGTAATAACACATTTCATTAACGATTGCCAATTATATGTAAAAAGCCACGAGTAGCATTTGAAATGGCAACATTAATAATGAAAATAACATTAGTAAAATATTTACATGAAAAGTTGCAATAGCAGAATTAATGACATGAACAGTATTTGGAAAAGCCTCGTGTTTGGCTAATTAAGAACCTCCCTCACGTGTTGAGATTCCCTTTTCTCCTACCCTGGACAGGTGTATCCACACTGTTGGTTGAGACTGGAGGATTTAAAATATTCAAAACAATTGGATGACTCTACGTCAACAATACAATGACGTCATACCAACAATGCATATAAACGTCACGTCAACAATGCATTAAGCCTATGACGTTAACATTACGTTCAATATACATGTAAGATACACATTGGATGAACAGGGTAAGAGAAAAAGACTCATTTACCCCCTTGAAGTGAGATCGGGAATATCAACCCTCGGGAAAAGATTCTTAACTTGCCAAACACTCTGCACAGCCTCGTGTTTGACAACTTAAAGATCTTCCCCTTGAGGTGAGATTAATAGAATATTTCACCCCCTTGGGATGAGACAGGGCAATCTCAACCCGAGGGGTAAGATTCTTAAGTTGTCAAACACGAGGCTTGCCGAGTGTTTGACAGCTTAAGAATCTTACCCCGAGGGTTTAGATCACCGTGTCTCACTCCCAAGGGGGGTGAATGATTATTTTTCTCTTACCCTGTTTACCCTCTTATGTATTTTATATCAATGCAAGACAATGTTGATGCGATGCGGCCGAATTGTCGACGTGACGTCATTGTATTGTTACCGTGACGTCATGGTATTGTTGCTATGACGTCATACAAATGTTGAGAACTAGCAAAGAACACGTGTAGCTTGTCTCAATCCTAGGGTGAGATTAATAGAATCTTACATGGGTCTGTTCCGTGGACAGGGATATCTCAACCCGAGTGTTAGAGTTTGACTGGTCAGCACGAGGCTTGCCGAGTACTGGCCAGCCAAACTCTTACACGAGGGTTGAGATATCCCTGTCTATGGAACAGACCCATGTTTGATTATTTTTCTCACATACATACAAATAAACAAATTCCAGTCGGAATAAACATCGATCTTATTCTTCCGGCAAACCTCAAAGTCCTAGGGTTGGGACGGATGATTCCCCATTCACAACAATTGTATGACATCACGGAAACAATAAAATGACGTCACATCGACACTCCATTATTATGACGTCATAGCGCGTGTCACTGTCTTTCCCTACCTTGTGTAAGATAGAGTTATCTTTTCCCTAGCAACAGCGGAATCATCCTGTGAAGGATGTGAGAAAAGAAAATCTCACACCAGTAAAATGGTGGATATCCCTGTCCAGTGCCAGAACATATTTTGTTATGTCTGAATAATAACACACATTTTTCTCTATACAGTCTGCAGGAGCTGGTCCCACCCGTCTCTGATACAGTCGCACACACTTTTCATTTTGATGGACGCATACATTAAGTTCTTATTATTGCTACTTTATTGTATCTCGTTTATCTTCTGAATAAAAACAGCATTTAAAAATATTGTTTTAGTTTTAATTCATTGAAATGGAGACCATGTCCGTATTGTGTGACTCACACATATCTGTATGAAAGATGAATGCTGTGTTTATGGATCCACACTAACAGCCTCCCCGTCTCACTCCTGGGAAAAAACTCGAATGAGAGAATTCCGCTATTGTTTTTGAGTACACAGACAGTTACCTCCCGTAGATTTTGTTAAGTGCTATTTGGCAAGGCTTTCTCCTGTTTTCCAAGAAGCTCAGGTGGTTAGAACAACAGTAAAATGGTCTGAGGACCAGGGTTCAAATCTTGATCTGGCCCTTTGCATTGTGTAACCCTTGTATTTTTTTATATACTCCATATCTGGTTATTGATTCATAAAAGATTACGTTTTTTTCAATAATAATTTATCAAAGCTAAAGTAATGCCGGGAAAAAAATCCGGTAGTAAAACGGGTATCTTAAGTTCAAAATAAAACAGTGTAATACAAGGCAAACGATTCATTTTGATATTTTACAGTGATCTGGAAAAGGAGTATCGGTATAATAGAAATTGTATGACTACCAATGAAAAAACTGTTTGTCAGAATGCTATATTTCACAATAAATGTTTTAGTTATATCAAAAATTTGATGAATGAAACATATTTTGACATCAAACAATATTGATTTATCTTCAGATGTTAAACAACCCTTTCTAATGTAAATATTGAAACTATTTTTTGTCTGTTTCATATGAAGAAGTTTATTTGTTAAACCTTTCGACACTTGTGCTGGAATAATTCCATCTGTACCTCTTTACATGTTCCTACATTGAAGCTCTGACTATTGTGTCTGTCCCGTTAGTCATGTATGTACATCATCTAGTGGTATGGTCCTTCACTATCTTAGATATGTAAAATACTGCGATGGAGCAAATGGTCTGAGCTTTAACTCGTATTACTTAAATTAGTCGATTTCATAATGGGATAATGCACAATCGTAATTCTTAAAAAAACAAATAAAAAAATACTGAAGTGACAGCTAAACCTAATTAAAACTAAAAATCGATACAACAATAGCAAAACACAAGCCAAGGAACATTTACATGCAAACCATTGAAAATTACAAGGATACAAGATCAGGTGTTCCAGAATGGTAAGCGTCTTCTGATTCATCGAAGACGGCACCCGCCGTAGACATCAAGGTTAAATCTAAATAATTGCGTGTGCTTAAAACGAAAATATGTGTAATAACAACGAAGGACAAGGCACTCGCATAAGTATAATCAAGCACATCAACATTCATATCAAACTAAAAATCAATAGGACCAATAGAATTATAATTTGTCCTTAGTCTTTATCAGCCTGCATCTCCCGAGGTCCCAGAATCAGCCATTGGATTAGGAATCAACTGCGATATGTAAACAAATATATTACTATCAAGAAAGGGAAAGCTCATAAGCGGAAATTCAAAATCGTGCAGCTTATCGAACAACTTGGTAATACTCCGTCTCTGCTGAGGTTGCTGACGTACAAGAGCAGTAGTGTTGCTGATTTCAAGCTCAGAAAGGTACATTGCATCTTCGACCGTGGTAGCCAATAACTTTCTTATTTAATGACATCAAATCGTCTCCTCGATATATGGAATGAAATAGTTGGATCCTGTCAACATTAAATAAAGAAAGCATCTCGTGTATATAGATAAGAAAGTATACGATATAAAATCATGGAAGACAAATAACACCAACATGTGCATGTACAATGCATCAAAAACCATTGACAACTAGGACTTTTAAATACAAGTACATTTGCCCGATCAGTTTTTATCCTTGAGCTATAAATGTGATATTAGCACTAGAATTTCTATTTGGATATCGACTAAAACGGACACTAGCACAACGCATAGTGTTTGTACTTTAGAACCTATTTGTGTATAGTGACAACTGTTTATTGCTCAGTAGATGCTACGGTCTGCTTCGGAAATGGGCATGTCGCAGGGAACTTAAATCTTCCTACATTTCTCATTACCATATTTTATACTTTAAGTTAAGTTATTTTATGTCGGTTATGTAATGAAATATCAACAAAGTGAGAATCCCTCGCCAAAGAAATCCGTTAGTTTGTCGACATGTTTCTCGGTGGACAGCTCTGATTAATAAGTGTGGTTTGACCGAGTTTCATATGTGTGCTACAAGTATGCGGAATTCCAGAATGATACAAATATGTCCATGTCCCACGATACATCGTTTTTGACTACGTCCGTTCCGTTCTGTATCTCAAAATTTCGCCTCGGGAAATGCGTCCAGTCGCTTCACACAAGAAACAATAAATATTTCATGACTAAGATTTACCTTCAGACTGATATTATTTATCACATGTAACAAAAACCGAGTGGACACAGTGTTGTTGGTCTAGTTGGTGTTTATTTCTGGTAACTTCGGTTGTCGGTATCGGTTTGTGTGGTTCGTCCTCTGTCTCGTCTGTCTCGCTCCCTGTCCTCTTCTAGCTATGCAGTTGTACGTACTGAGTCGTACTTATACCCAACACAACCCCCTATACTTAATCAACCGAGATAGACATATCTGTACTGGACAGCAGCATACGTGGACCTTGATATATGTTATATGCCGGATGGTCCCTTATATTTATCGGTCAGTTTGTCCGAGGTTGCTACATGTATCAGCTAATTGCCCCGTAGTTATACCCGTATTACGGTCTGTACAGCTTTGGCCGATATGTATTTAATTATTAGGATATGTCTCTTATTGACATATATTCCCGGAGGTATGGGAGAATATATAGTATCATGACATCTCTCCGAACTAATTAACTCAGATAAGATATACGGGTCCATTAAATGTTATTCAAATTTCATATCAACATGTTTGGTTTAAGTCCGGTAAAGCCTCCTTTGTTACACATTACAACTTGTTCTTAAATTATCTTTAGCCTGTATAACAAATATATGTCCTCAATTACTATTATTTTTAAATTTTTAGATCTAGAAATTTATATTAATGTTCTCAAGTAAATGGTAAATATTATATAATTACCTAAAAAGGTTATTTGTTGCGTAAATTTTATTTGCTATCATTTCGTTTTCCTAGAATGTACATATTGCGCAATATTACATGTACCTTGACTTGCATTACACAGGTTAAATGAGGTCATAGGTCAAGAATTAGTTTGTAAACAAAACATCTGCTATTGTCACGACTATAAGCATTCGCGCAGTATAAGAAACTATGCCCGACACGCGAACAATTAATTAAGTCTATCTAAACAAGTGGTAATAAATCAGACATGCTTAACTAAGACTGGATAACAGGTGGGCAGTGAAGCGAAGTGTGATGTTATAAATAGGAATATTATGATGTTCTGATGTGTCAGAAGTTAGACATTCTTTTGAGGTTAAGGCAAACATATATGTGTAACTTACACACTGATAAAGGGTTTCTGGTAATACTGGAATTGTTGTAGCAGATTAAAAAATGGAGTCTTTTTTCGTGATTTGGATTCCTTGGATCTTGCTGCCATTGTTCCATTTGAAAACATCTTTCTTTCATGCTGAAGGTAGGACATATATATATTGGCTGTCTGTTTTGGCATGCATTTATTTTACGAGTTTAAGGTAGAGCGAGCACCTATCATGTTTAGTTAATACATATGATATTAACATAAGCAAAGGAATAGACACAAGTTACATGAATAGCATGGACGCCCTTATCGATAGCTAGGTGTAACATAATATTAAGTTCTACCTAGAAATTGTTGGGTAACAATTTGACGGGCTTTTCACCGTTAAGACTGATTTAAAGTTTCATGGTCTTTACCCTCTAGCTTTGTTTTCGTTAAATGTTTACTTTTTTTTTTTTTAGACATTTGACCAATATGACCTTGATCATTGATCAAGGTCAACCATTTTATCAAACGTGATAGCTAAACATCTCAGCATCATATATATCAAATATCAAGACTCTACACTTTTAAAGCACTTGAAAACAAACTTTGGAAAGTTTGTTACCCAAAAAGTGCATTTCAACTTTGACCCCTACTGAAAACCGGAAGTAGACCTTTGACACAAAAATGTTTCCGCAGAAAAAGTTTTGCATTGCTAGTCTCCATAACATTACCAAAGATGAAATCGATGGCTTTGTTCGACAATGTGTTATTGCAATTAGGAAAAAAACGGGTATGACATCATTGCGGCCATCTTGGATTTGGGATCAAAACAAAAGTTGCCAAAAATTCGGCAGATAGCTATATAGTCTGGGCAAACATTCTTACCTACACTATAATAAATCTGCGAGGCAGAACATCAGAACAAAGCAGTTTTAACATATTGTCGACATTTCAAAAAGATCAAAGGAAATATTCAAATTGGCGTAAGATGTTAACGGTAAATGTTACATAAAAACTGAAGTCGTCATAATTCTTTTTTGTAATAACATGAACCGAAAAAAACCGTACGCCCTGTAGAATATTTAAACAAAATATATATAATATACATGACTGCTGTACAATCGATAGGTTTTGAGTTAAGTCTATTTTAAGATTTTGACCTATGACGTCATGGCGGCCATATTGGAATTTTTGACCTACTTGAAAATGTTGCAATCACACCGTTAGACATTGATGACCGCACATCTGCTACCAATCAAAAGATTTAGACTCCACAAAATCAGGGAAGAAAAACAAATAAGAATAAGAATATTACCAGTTGGTGAAAAGCCCTAATTATAATGTGAATAACAAAGAGACCAACAAGCAATCAACACGCTCATGACTTCAGACATGGACAGACAGACAGACAGACAGACAGACAGTCAGACATGGACAGACAGACAAACATGGACAGACAGACAGATTAATAAAATAAATATAATTGTATTCGGGTGAAAAAGAGAGCGGGGATGGGGAGGGCTGGATGATACTTATGAAAGAAAAAAATAAATTATAGATATACAAAAATAATGATAAGTTGTAATTGAACATTCTTGTGTCTCAGACAAATCGTTGGGTATGCAAGAGTATTTTAACATTCTCCTGTTCGTTAAAGTTTTCATTTCCACAGAGAAGCTTAGCCAAACGCAGGGGAAGAAATTGCTATACAATTAGAAATAGTGGAACGCATCCTCTTTTGGATTCCCACATGTACATTCGGAAGAATTAATTAATGTAACTTTACACAAGTCTTTATTTAAAGTACGACACTGATGTCTATGTCTAGTCATGAAGATATTTGCTTTTTGGTCACCAGCAAGGTAATGCTGTTCAAATTGATCTGTTTTACATTCAAATTTTACCATAAATTCAAACTTATTTAAAGTAGGGTCTCCTTTAATAACAATGTCAAGATCATTCCAAAGTCTAGTTGACGAGGGTATATAGGAGTTGTTTGTAGATTATAGTCTATTGTTTGGTAAATTGAAGTTATTAGAGTTTCTCAAATTATAAGTTGTTATAGATAATACTTTGGGTGGGCGAATATCACGCAGGTAAGAAGGGGTTAAATTATTTTAGTTTAATTTGGTTTAATTTTGTTTAACGTCTCGTTAACAGCCAAGGTCATTCAAGGACGTGCCTCCATGTGTGTAGTGAATGCGTGTTTGCGTATGTGTATGCAGGATACAGGGTATGTTGGCGTGCTTGCCTCCTTGTGATAGCGCAGATCTGATGCCGACTTTATAGTGCTATCTCACTGAAATGCCATGCCGAAGGCACCAAGTACGCCGGTCACATTAATATGACAACGGGTGAATCAGGTGTTGCCATTCCCCTTAAGGTGGCTCCACACATCGTCATCAGCGTCCATTTTAGTGACGTACTTCCGGAAAAAGTACAGCTCGGATCAATTATCTTGATCGAAATGTGCATGTACACCGTGTCGTCATTTCCGTATTGCGTATCGGGCATTCAATATCGTAGTGCAAATTATAGTAACACCTGGGCCGTTTTCGTTTAAACGGTTAAACCGATCGGACCACTGTTGTTCGTTTATTAAATAAGGTCGGACCTAGTAATCTGATGCTGCTTTC